AAAAGGAAGAGATCGCTTTCCCTGCCCCAAAATCTATCAGGCAAGAATTCTGGGAATTGAGAACATGTGAGATGGGTGGTCAGTCTTCCTCTGGATTTCAGGAGGCAACTGAAGACCTGCCTTCTTCTCCCATCCCTCTCTTAAGTCCGCCCAAAAGTAATCTTACCTTCACCTCCTGGTCCACTTGCTGTGAATTTTTTTTTGTGACCCATGGGCTCATTGGACCATTGCACCCATCCGTTCTTGTCTATCATGGTCTTGTGTCTTTTTTTTTCTTTTATTGCTTTCTATTACTGTTATGTTTCGTTGTGTTTGCCGACCAGAATATTCGCTTTGCCACAAGTTGGGTGGGATAAAAATGTAAACAAACAAACAAACAAATAAATCTCCCAACCACCCAAATCATGGCAAGATCAAATATGATTTCAGACATCATCCTCATCACGAGCATGGTCATCATCATTGTGTGCCCTCAACACAATTCCGACCTAGCGTGACCCTTTTCAGGTAGGGAATTCAGAGAAGGAATTTCTCCCTTCCTTTCTTTTGGGGGTCACCCTGGGACTGTGCGGCTGGCCCAAGGTGACCCCGGCTGACTCTTCTCTTGGGAGGCCCCGTGGGGGAATCAAACTCCCAATCTCCGGATCCACAGCCACAGACCTAACTCACTGAGCTATCCAGCCAGCCAGACCTCTTAAGGTGAAGATAAATATTTCCAAACAGCAGTCAGTTCAGAGGGCAGCGGTTGTTTCATTGAGTGCCCTTCTCCCTCTTACACCTGCACGGACATCTTATCAATAAAGTTTGGTTTTAGAAGCAAATCGAGGCATGCATGGTTTCCGAAATAAACAAGTTCCCTTATTAAAGCAGAGACGGATGTTGCTTTCAAAGTGCCGGCAGCGTCTTGGTTAGAGAAAAATGAACTCTTTTTTGTAATAACCTCTTTATAGACTGATCTTATATGACTGGCATGCACGAATTGAACAGATAATACTTTAATGCAAAACGTCAAAGGCGGCTGCTATGTTGCATGGAGTCTCAAAGATGTGAAATGCGGGAAGGCTCGTTGTTTTAAAAAAAACCCCACAAAAAACTACCAACCATTTTTTCTGAGTTCTCTTCCTTTAATGAGAAAGAACGCGATTGTTAGATGCCATCAAGTTGCCTCTGGCTTATGGTGACCCTCTAGAAGGAGGACGCTCTCAAAGGCCCAATCATTAAAAAAGCTCTTGCAAACTCTGTGTCTTCTTTCCTTTGGCCTCCCTCTTTTCTTGCTGCTTTCAACTTTTCCTAGCATTATTTTCCTCCCCATAGCTTCCATTTCAGCATTTTATTTTATTTTTTGCTTGGACGGAGAGTTCAGCCTTGATTTGGTCTGGAACCCACTTACTCCTCTTTCTGACAGTCCAGGCCACCTGCGAGACACTCTTCCTGCACCATATTTTGAACTAATAACTCTTTTTCCTCTCCTCTTTCTTCACTGTCCAGAGTTCACATCTGGACATAATGAAGGGGAACAGCATAAGGTGGATGATCTTCTTGACCTTGGCCTCCAGTGGCACCGGCTTACACTTGATGATCTTTTCTACCCTATTTTCCAAAATCTCAGCCTTCAGATTTCTTGGCTGCAGTCTCTATATTGAAACGAGCACAGAGAATCGGTGAGAATTTAAATTTCTTCACTGTCTACGGTAAAGTTAGGTACTGTACTTTTTCGACAATCATGACTTTTGCCTTTAATGTTCAACTGCGGTCCTGCTTTGGCACTTCCTCCTCCCACTTCCGCTTTCACTAGCAATCATTTCAAGGTGTTGTTACTTTCTGTCAGAAAGATAGTGTCATCTGTATATCTTAAATTATGTGTGCATATCTTAAATTACTTCCACCAATTTTCAATCCTCTTTCATCTGAATCTAGTCTGGCTTTCTGTCTGATATAAGATTGAACAGACAGAGAGATCAAACGCACCCTTGTTTGAACGTCTCTGGCCATGGGAAACCATCCTATTTCTCCACATTCGGTCCTCCTAAGAGTAGCTTCTTGTTCAGAGTATACTTTATACATCAGGATTAGAGGTGGACATGAACCTGGGAAATGGTGGTTTGTGATGGTTTGTGTTTCATAGCTAGTCACAAACCACAAGGCACGAACTTTCCATTGAAATTAACCATTGTGTGTTTCATGTGATTCAAGACTTCTAGGAGCGATAGGATGCCCCTCGTGTGAGACAGAGGCCCCAAGCTCACCGCACGCCTTCAGCTGACTCTCCTCACCACCCCTTCCTTGTTTGGCAAATATTGACTTGGGGACGTTCAAATAGCCCCACAAAGCAGGTGCCCCCAAGAAGGTGCTCTTTAGACACTAAGGAGGACTTTCTTGAAGGGACCTGTTTGAGGAGCTATAACTTGGATGTCCCAAATCCAATATTTACCAAACTTTGAGAGAGTGGGGAGGAGAATCAGCCAAGAATTTTCTCTTGGGTAATGAAAGATTTGAAAGGCAGTCGTCCAGAGGAAAGGCAGGACCTGTTCTCAGTCATCCCAGAGTGCAGGACACGCAACCATGGGCTCAAGTTATAGAAAGACAGATTTCAGCTGAATATGAGGAAAAACTTCTTAATGATTAGAGCAGCACGATGATGGAACCAACAACCTGCACTGAGCCGGGGGTTGGACTGGATGGCCTTGTAGGCCCCTTCCAACTTCACTTTCCCATGATTCTGTGACCTCAGGGGGAGGTGTTGAGCACTCCAACATTGAAGGCATTCAAATTTAGACAACCACCGGTCAGATCTGCTTTGATTTGTATTCCTGCACTGAGTAGAGCGGGTTGGACTTGATGACCTTCGAGGCCCCTTCCAACTTCATGATTCCATACATGTCATGGGGCTTGAAAAACGAGACAGCCTAAACTAATGAGAGAGGATGTCAAGTGAGTATTCAATACCTACCTTCTCAAGACAGGGCAGTTCTTCTTATGATCTAACTTTTAATTCCTTCCTCTTATCTTGCCTCCTTGTCACACTATTCCTGTTCTGGGGATGGTTAAGTGACCATCCTGTGTAGTAGCCAGGAATCAAAGCCTGTCTATGTTTGAAGAGGAAAGCTTGCATGGAAAATTTTTAACTGATTATTTCTGATTTTTTCATTTGTTGTGCTTTGTTTGGGGAAAATTCCCACTTTGTGCATGCCTGCCTTCAATCCTTGTTTAATTTATTCCTTTTGCTTGTCTTCACTTTCCTCTCGGAGCTCTAGAAGAACTTTGCAGTAAAACATTGTTGGGGATTTATGGCTTCTAAAGATCAATACATGTTTCCTTTTTCTTGTAAGAAGCGCCCCCCACACACCCATGGCCACCCCTCCACACATACACACGAACTATTTTTAATGCATGGACATTACCACCAAATGGTGCTACCTCTGCTTTCAAAAAAATGTTTCTCAGAAAACAGAAGAAAGCAAACAAGCAAACAAACCTGGGAACCAGCTCAAGGTTGTGTGTTGTCACATCATAAACCCTTCAGGGATTCTCATGGTGCAATTAACAGCTGTGAAATCTGTCTGTGTAAATAACAGTTTGCAAAATCAGAGAATGGGCAATCTCTGCAAAATCTGGATTGCAGCTGTGGGATACGGCTTTGGCTTTTCTTCATAATACCAAGTGGAGAACATCTAATCTCTTACACTTGTCATAAGTAAGTGGAAAAGAGGAGAAGCCAAAAAGCTTATATTTTACCCTAAGATTCAGAGCTTGGTTGTGAATGAGGCTTCTAGCTTGCTCCCTGTAAGGGGAAGGTGTGTTGGTTCTAGCAATATGAGATGCATTGTGTTCTGGCTCTTGTAAGAGGCTTTTAGGTGGAGCGGCCTCCCAAGGATGGCCAGAAACTTTGGCAAACATGGAAGAGTGGGAAGGGCCTTCTCGGTGGCGGCTCCCGGGGTTTGGGATGCACTGCCCGGAGAAGCCCTCCCTCTTGGCCTTCCATCATCCTCAGGCAAAGACCTTCCTCCTCAAGCAGGCTTTTAAGCAACAAGTGCCTCCAGAACGATTTTTTAAGAATTCTGTTACCATGTTTTGAAATTGTTTTTAATTTTGGTTTTCAATAGTAATATAGCTTATGTTTTAAAATTGTTTTTAATCTTGGTTTTCAATAGTAATATAGCTTTAATTGTTCTTAATATGATATTTATGTTCCCCGCTGCACCTCCTCCTCAAAGAAGAAGAGCCAGCCTGGGTGGCCTTGGGCAAGCGGGCCACTCCCAGGGATCCCCTGGAAGTAGAGAAGGGTCAGCCAGTTCTGAGGACTCTCTCCCTGGAAAGGGTGGCCGTAAATGGGAGTGGATGTGACAGTGCACAATGCTTGTTGCGCTGGTTGTTGTATTTTTTAATATTGTTGTTTGTTTTACAGTTGTCGTTGTGGTGAGCCACTTTGAGTTCCCTACAGGGAGAAAGACAACAAACAAACAAACAAAGAGTGCAGGAGAATCGAGCCACTTTGAGTTCCCTACAGGGAGAAAAGACAACAAACAAACAAAGAGTGCAGGAGAATTGGACCACCCTCGGTCCGGATCTGCTTGGATTTGGATTCCTTGCCTTGAGCAAGGGGTTGGACTGGATGGCCTTCAAGGCCCCGTTCTAACTCCTGTGGTTCTAGGATTCTAGGAAGACTATCAACCAGGGCCCAGTTAAAGGTACTGTTAATGTTAAAAATATGACACTCAGACACATCCTCAGAGTACTATGGAACATTATCCTGGGCTTAGTTCCCTCGTCGAAAGGGTTGCCAGCTCTCTGCTTCTACAGGGAGGTCAAAGGGATTATTTGATTTAGTGGCCAAGCTTCTGCCATCGGTACTGCCATACATTCTCCTCAGGGCCACCAAAGAGATCACCAAGAAGGAGAACAAAAGATACTGCTTGGCATAACACTGCATGTACTCCTGAGATTGGGTTGTTGTTGTTGTTGTTGTTGTTGTTGTTGTTGTTGTTATAAATAGGATGGCAATACGTCTCGCAAGGTGGGTGGGGAGAAGGAGAGAAACGGTGAACCTCCTGATGGCGTGCCTGATTCCGAGCCTGTCGTCCTGGGCTTGGCGAGGGTGAATGGGCTTCTTCAAGGACCTTCTGGTTCTCTCGTCTTTCCCTCCGACTTGGACAGGACTGCTCTGCAGATAGAGAAGACACCTTCAGAAAGAGATGGGGACCTCCAGCAGCCCTTCTCATGAAGGACTGTCCTCTATAAGAGGACAGAGAATCATAGAACCATAGACGGATAGCATTGGGAGGGGCTTCGTAGGCCATCGAGCCCAACCTCCACCTGGCTCAAGGCAAGAATCCAAACCAAAAACTGATCTGACGGAGGGTGGTTCAGTTTTCTCTTGAAAGCCTCCAGAGCTGGAACACTCAACACCTCCCAAGGTCATCGATTCCATCGTTGTACTGCTCTAATAGTTAGGAAGTTTTTTTCCCCCTGATACTCAACTGAAATCTGGCTTTCTGCAGCTTGACATGCCCCTGGCATCCAGGAAGAGGTGGGTTGGAAGCTGGCTGGGAACAGAAAGGAACAGCATTATTTTTTCTGGGTGAAGTCAACATCTAAGAAAAAAAAGGCATGGGAAATCAAAATATAGGGGGCAGTGTAGATAGGGCTTAGTTACATGTTAGACAAAATACTTCTCAACCCTGGAAATATGAGTCTCAGCAGAACATAGAGATAAATGAGCAGCAGGTAGCAAGATGAACGGCTACCCTCACCATCTACAGTACATTAGACATTGTAAGAATGATGTATGTATCCATACAAATTAGTGCCTGGGCTTTCTTGCTTTTCCTCTTCCCTCCCCACCCACTGTTCCTTTCGTGTCATGTCTTTCCGTCCGCAAGCTTGAATTTAGGAGCCCATGCTGTTGTTTTTTAATTGATTGGGAAACCATTTGGGAAACCTTTGCAGCGGAAGCGCAAGATATAAAAATTTGTGAAATAAATACCTTTCGTTGTAGCTCTGTATGTGAAACAAAAACCACCCCAATTTGGAACAGCTAAAGTTAAACAGAAATTGACTTTACGTTTGCTATGGGATTTGCCTAGCTGAATGTTTGTTTCCTTTCGGCTTTGGGGAAGAAACAAAGGCCTTCTGCGATGTGCCGAAGGAAATATTGAATCAGGCTGTCCTCTCCCCAACTCAAAGAAAACTGTGTTATGTCGATGATCATCTCAGCCAAAACGTTAATCTCTACCAAATGAAAATTGCCATCTGCCTTTCAGTTCAGCGATTGGAATGTACGGATCTAGAACAGATTTGAGTTGCAACAAAAAAAATGACACAGAGTATGCTTTTGTGCATTTGAGGAGTAATATTTTTTTCCCCTTGCAATGAGGTCTCTTTCCTCTTTCTAACCTTGAGCAGTGAGAAATCTTAAATGGAGGAATTTCGGAGGGGCCAAAGAAGTTATTAGCAAGAATCGTTGAAGTGGTCTCTAGAGGCAATGTGGGGTTTTTTGTTTTTTTTTTGCCTTAAGGACCTTAAGCTTGTGCATTGATTTCATTGGAAATTTCATCAGCAACCAGCGATGCCATCTTACCTCACGTTGTATTCTTCTTCACAAGTTCTCCCACTCATAGTAAGGTCTCCTGTTTTTATGTCAGGGCAAAAGTAAATGCTATGGTGCTTCCTAAGTAATAAAGCAAAAAATCAACACACATCAGGCGTAGTCAAAAACAGAGGGATTTTGCTGAAGAACTTTAGCTGTATATTGTTAAAAGGTTATGAGATGCTCCCCTTCAGGAGATCCGGCTGGCCTCCTCCCTTTTATCCTTTTGCTGATAGCTAAAGACTCATCTTTTCAGGCAGGGTTTTAACAATCATGATTAAGTTCCTGAATGCCTTTTTAAAGCTGAGATAGTTTTAAAGGTTTGCTTGCTTTCAATTATTCAATTGTATTTTAATTAGTGTACAGTTTGTTTTGTTTTAATGCTTGAATTATAATCTTTTTAATTCTCTTCCTTTTAATTTTGTGAGCCGCCTTGGATCCCCTTATTGGGAGAAAGGCCAGCCTATAAATAAAAAATAAAGCAAGCAAGCAAACAAACAAATAACAATTAGAATGTAAGCCTCCTCATCCCATGACTATCCATTGCCACATAGCATGCACGGGAAACACATCACCTGAAAGGTCCCTAGCAGATGTGTTACTCTATCATCAGGCTTCGTGATTAAATCTGTGCTTTCCTTCCAAAGATAAATTGCAAAGCATGTCTAATGCAAAATAGATGTGTGGGGGGAAATCATATGCCATGACAAATAGATCATTTCACCACTGAACAGAGCACCTCTGTTAAATACAGACTACGTGTCTTATTAAAAGCTGGCTGGATAGCTCAGTGGTTTAGATATCTGGCTATGGAGCCAGTGGTTGGGAGTTGGATTCCCCCACTGGGCCTCCTTGGAGAACAACCAGCCCATGTAGCTTTGGGCAAGCTGCCCTGTTTCAGGATGTCCCCCAGAAGAAGGGAAGGGTCAACCACTTCTGAGTATTCTCTACCTCCAAAACCCCGGAAAGGGTTGCCATAAATTGGAATTGATTTGACAGCACATGATTGTTATTGTCTTGTTTGTTGTTGTCTTGTGAAAGCAGAATGCCCTAAATCCAAATCCCTTGACTTGAGCAAACAGAAGTGATCAGACAATGATATAAAAGGGCCTTGAACTGCACAAAAAGGGATGCTTTGCTGGATGCCATCTTTCAAGGGACCCTCCAAAACCACCCTTCTGTCCATTTGGTTCCAGTCGTGACAGCCCAGCTCCAAAGAAAGAGCAGCCCTCCTGTGGCTGGACTCAAAAAAAAAATGTTTGGCTTCATCATGGAGCAGGATTGGGCTCTTTGCGATCTCTCAAAGGTCCTCTGGTTGCTGGAAAACAGAACGGACCAAATGGTGTCCTAAGGGCACAAGAAGGGACCTAAATCTGGGGGGGCGCCTTCTCCAGATCATGCTGGCCACCAGCTCTGGCCATCCTCACTGACCATCAGCCGTGGCGCCTGGAGGCGAAAAGTGTTCTTGGAAGACCAGACGTTCCCCGTCTCAGCAGTCAGAACTCATTTTGGGCAAAACCACGGCTGGTGGGTGTCTCCCTGGCAGAGCACAGGTGCCTACGAGGGGGAGGGATTTTTAGATATCCTCAACTACAAAAATACCACCATTTCCCATTCTGGGGGCTCTTACAGGCAGGCCGAAAAGCACCTCCGCAAATACCTGAATGTGGCTCACCTGGAAGACAGGCCTTCTCTGGAAGGCTGTGGGGTGTAGCTAGGCCTAGCTCTGACCGGGTCTCCTTCTTAAGAAAGAAAGCTCCCTTCTAGCACTGGGGCAGGAGCAGGAAACTGGGTCTATCCATTCATTCGTCCATTCGTCCCACAGGCACTCTCTATCTACCGAGTCAGAAGCTCCCTTTCAATCAAGGAAAGACACCTGCAGCTTAGAATTTGCCTGCTTCCTTGTTTTATTAATAGGTTGTGGAAGTATCAGACCGTGATCTACGGTAGCCTTTCCTTTCCTGAAGCCACCTTTCTCAGGGCCAAGAATGGTAATTAATCCAGGAGATAACTTTATTTAGTAGATATTTTGCAGGAAGCTTCCCAATTACTGATAATAAGTGGATTAATTTATAGGTTTCTCAGGAGATAGATAAGGTGAGGAGGGGGTACCCTTTTGGTTTTGGGGGGCAACAATTGCGTTGGTCCAAAATTTGGGAATTATTCCTGTACTGTCTATAGTGGTCCAAAGTTTTCTGGGAGGTGGGGGGTACCCTTTTGGTTTTTTGGGGGGGCAACAATAGCGTTGGTCCAAAATTTGGGAATTATCCCTGTACTGTCTATAACAAGTAATGAAGCCAACCAGTCTGGTTTGCCTTATAGTAAATCTTGAGGGGAGGGGAGGCATCAGGGCCAGCTGCTTTCCCAAGGTTTTAAATGAGTTATTAGTTCTTTAATCTCGTCAGTGGTTACTGGTGGCCACACAGAGAGATGAGGTGAAGAAAAGTTTGTTTATTGATTTATTGATTTGATTTGATCTGAATCAGAACAATAATCAACAACAACAATTTAAAATAAAATGTACAGTAGAACAATAAAATGTGTCCATTATAAATTAGAAACATCATAAACTAGAACTGCAACAAAAAAACGCAACACAAAACAGGGATATTTAATTAAAAAATGGTGAAGATGGCAGATTACTTGTTTAAGAGTTGGCAAGTACTCAGTGTTCTGCTGATGGAACATTCTGGAAAGCCTGCCTAAATAAACAAGTGTCCAGCAAGCTCATAAAGTGAAGGGGCTGTGCAAATATCAGTAATCCAGCTGAGATGGAAGTAAGGCATGTGCCAGAAACAGGTGCCACTGGCGCACTGGTTTTAACGGTGCAAAGGTCACTCTTGGCCACTGCCGAAATCTGGTCATCCCGGCTCAGCGATGAATCCAGGAGCACCTCCAGGCATATGCAGTGAAATAATGGTGAATCAGGCTCGACAGGCTTCCTCACCATGTTGACAGAGTAGCTGCAATCCTGTCGCTTTTTATGCCCGTAATAGTGTGTAATTTTACTTACGTCTAGCTGGCAATTGATGGCACCCTGCTGGGATTCTTCTGCCCGCCTGAAGCCCGTGGGCCCTTCCGCCTCCCTCCACCCCAGGATTGATAGTGGCAACCCCTGCTAGAAGCTCTGTTACACCTCTTGCCCTCTACGTGCATAAAAGCAACAGGATTTGGCCCACTCGATCTCAACTGAAATCGAAGCAGTAAGAAACATTTCCTCACATCCTTACATTCAAAGGGCTGGTTGCGGGAAGGCAGATTTCAGTTGAACGCGAAGAGGAAGTTCGTGATTTTCCTATTTGTTCAGCAACAGAATCGATAACCAAGATGGATGACCGGGCAGTTTTTCAATGCAGGTTTTCAAACAGAGATGGAACAGTCTTCGCTAGAAACTGCTGTAGTTCTGGTTTCCAGACCAATCAGTTCACATTATTTATCAAGAAGGATCTTTATTTCTCTCTCCATCTCTCCCTTTTAAAAAATCTTCTCTGTTGACCTTTCAACATATCAAAAGTAGGAGATAAGATTTACCACAGAAGGGTAAGGAGTTTAACTTTTTGCCCCCTTTTCGGCCAAGAAATCAACAATTAAGAGTTTCCTTTATTTTACTTAAAAGATTGCCCTTATCTCTTATCCCAGGCACCCTGTCCCGTGGATTTGCTAGCTGTTGGTCTTAGCTGCCAAGACAGAAAGTCAATAGGCTTGCTTAAAAACGGCAGGCTCTTCTTAGCTAAGAAAATCACAAGGGAAGATTGGAGTTGTCTAGAAGTCACATTTGATGATTGGTTTGCCATTCTTCACAGGGGCTCCCAGTCTATCAAAGAGGAAAGCTCACCCAAAATCACTCTGAAAAGATGTTGATTGTCTCATTGCATTTGCATTACGATGCAAAACTGGATGTTTCTCTAGTGGCAGCATGTCAGTTATGTCTTTCGCTGAGGGAACAAGTGTATTGACATCTTTTGGTGCCCAGTGTTGCAGACCTAAATACTGCCATCGTTTAAAGGGACAAATAATTTCTCAAGAGATTTCTCCAAAGTCTCTCAGGCTACACTGGCATTTATATGATTGCAGTTGTTTTTATTTATTTGTTCATTTGTTCATTCAATCATTCATTCATTCATTCAATCATTCAATCAGTCATTTAAAATATGTTTCCCCTGGCTTTTTTTCATTCATTCATTCAATCATTCAATCAATCATTTAAAATATGTTTCCCCTGTCTTTTTTTAAAAAAAATGACTCAAGGCAGCTTACATCATTAAAAAGACAGTATTTAAAAGCTAAAAACAATAAGTATACAGAGATTTTAAAAAGACTTAAACAAGTGTTATATTTAAAATGGTAGATAAAAATCAATATTAAAAACATTTAAAACAGCAGAGCACAACCATCCATTTCAAAAGCAAAGCTGGGGTCGGTTTTGCCTCCTGTGGGAGGGAGTTCCAGAGTCCGTGAGCAGCCACGGAGAAGACCCTCTGCACGCACACCTATGAGGATGATGGTACCGAAAGAAAGGTCTCTTGACACCCAAACAGGCTCATTATGGGAGATACAGGTTTTGAGAGATCTTGGACCCAGGCCATTCAGGGCTTGATAGGTTAGAACTGGCCTTTTGCATTGTTCCTGGAAACGAATCAGCAGCTCGCGGAGCTGCAGCAATAGGGTAGGAAGATGTGACCCCTGTGGCCAGACCCAGTCAGAAGGGAGAACAAGGGTGCTTGTAGATCAGAAAATCCAAAAATCCCATGATGCAGCCATGACTTCTATTTTTAAAATTTACCATCCATAAAACAGGACAGCACTCATTGTAAATTTAATTTTTTTGCACCTTATCCAGAAAGGCGCACAACCTGGACTTGGAAATATCCACATTCTGTCCCAAAGTGCTAACATTAAAAATTCTCTTTAAAAAAAATCCTTGCTGTTTACTATGGAGGAATAAGACAAGTTCAGATTTCATTCTCTTATCTTGGGGTCTGAGCAGCTCTTTGCTCTGGACCGGAAGGGTAACCGGCCTTCTCTTATTCTGGTCACAGGTTCCCAGGACTGGTGTCAGGTAGACAGACTCGCTCATCCT